ATAAATAGACTGCGGTAAAAATAATTTATCAAGAGCACAGTCTGTAGGAACTACTGAGGTGGCCTTCTCCCTGTTATTATTTTAATGCATCTATCTTCTTCGCATGGCAGAGAGGGCGAGGGCTTGAGGCTGGGGGATGGCTAAAGTGCTTTGGGAACTTTTTCTGGAAATACAAATTATAGCTCTCAAAAGTTTCCCCTGGGGGGTGAAGGAGAAGGAGAAGGAGGTGGCAGCGGTGGCAGCAGCAGCGGCAGCACTAAGAGCTTGTCTCCCCCTGCTGGTGTCTAAATACAGATAACACCGCCCCCCCACACCCCTTTGAAGAGAGAATCATAATCCTGCCCCGCAAATGATGAGTTTGACGGATTTAAGAGCGTTGGATTAGTGAAGAGCTTTCAAGTGTGTTTTTGGTAAGTCTAATTTCCGAGCTGCACCTTGCTGTAGTTTCTCGGAGTGTTCTGCTATCTCCCAGCACAAGCGAGCAAGTGAGTGAGCGAGATGCCTGGCATTATTTTAGTCTTTGCTTCCAGTCACCCTTCATTAAGTATTTATCTGGCGTTTTGGAATCAGCGGCAGAGCGTGTCAAAGTACCTGCTTTTGACTCAGAAAAGCATGGAGATTTTACAATAGAATGGCTACTGCAGCATGTAAAAGGATCCGGTATCCTTGGCCCGGGTGGGAGTGAGCCGTGGGGATAAGAACAAACCGCTGGGGAAAGTGAAGATGGCAAATGCTCACTCCCACTCAATCCTGCCCCGGTTCGTCAGCCCTCCTGCAAATGGAAAGGCCAGTCTCAGTCTTGGAGAACAGGCGGGTCTCGGACAGGCACCGGTGCCAAACAGGGACGCGAGCCTCGCCTTCTGAAGAGAAGGGAGGAGGCAGACCTGGACTCTGGCTCTGGGTGGGGAATCTCGTGACGATCCGGGGCAAATTACCTCCGTCCCCATCATGTCTTCCCAGTCTGAGTGACATCAGGAGAGGACGGCCACACACAACAAGGGGCATGCCAGGGAAGTCTGCACACACACCGACACCCCCCCGGTGGAGGAGCAGAGGGGAAGAGAGCACCTCCGACCCCCCCAATGGCCTGGCTGGGCAGCTCGTCCTGCCTTGGGCTTCCCTGTTGGGGAGGAGATGGGATTTGGGCAGGTCTCGGCCCAACTGGGAAGGAAAGAGGGGTGCCTGCTAAATCAGTGACTGGAGATCACAACCGACTAAAGGGGAAGCAATGGACAAAGGACCCCCGTGCTTATCCGCGCTTAACAGCAGGGGTCCTCTCCCCAACCCAGCCCCAGGTCGCTGGCAGCCTCTCTGGGGCTGAAGCCTGCCGAGGAAGCCCAAGTCCCCACGGGCTGGCCGTGGAGCCCGTGAGCCGGGCTAGGCAGGTGTTCTGGGGGGCCAAGGCAAATATTTCATGCCAGTCCCTGGCGAGTGTCGCCTCGCTCAGGGCAATCCTGCAAGGTAGGCTAGGCTGACCGGTGGCAAGTTGTGGGGCTGGGTGAATATCGGAAATCAGGCCTGCCTTGACCATCAAACACTCTGTCCGATAAGGGACACTGGTCAGAACATACGATGAGCAAAACGCGGCCCCTATCAGAACTGCAGGGGGGGGTGTCGGGCGGGGGGCTATGGAAGAAAACAAGGCGTGCTACTGAGCAACACTGCTAAAGGGGGGCACCGCCCGGCCACCAAGGACAGAAACTTGTTCCAATCTGCCCCCTTCGCTCGAGCTCCTGTCATGCCTGAGTGGGGAGCGTTGGGCCCTGGTTTTTGGTTTATGGCTTATTTACTTTTGTACTTGTATGCCGCTCCATAGAAATGCATATTCTTAATGATAGTTCATTGTTGCTTCTGATTTATTGTTAATTGCTGTTTTTGATGATGGATTGTTCGATTTGATTTCTGTAAGCCATCCTGAGACACTTTGCGTATAGGATGGGGTATAAAAAATAATACAACAACAACAACAACACACTCCAGGTTTTACGTACTTTCTTTTACATACAAAGAAAGGCTGTGGCTGGGTTCAGGCAAGACAATTGCCCACGATTCACTTTCAGCCCTCCGTTCAATACAACCCACGCTGAACCCACACGCAACCCTCGAGCGGAGGTTGTCGTGACGGCTGAGCCCACCCAGTGTCGTGTAGTGGCTGCAGCACCGCACCGGGACTGTAGAGAGCTGGGCTCAACGTTCCACTCACCCTCGCAACTCCGTGGGAGGCTTTGGGCCAGTCACAGATTCTCGGCCTAACCTACCTCACAGGGTTGTTGTGAAGGTAACGTGGAGAAAAGGAGACCACCACCTCGGAGGACAGGTTGGACACAAGGGTGGCAAGCAAACAAGACACTGTACGGCGAGGATCTGAGTGCTGCATGGAGTGAGCGAGCGGTTGCTAAAAATGCCCGAGCAGCACAGAAACCTGCCTTTCCTGGGAGGAGCAGGAACAGAACTGCTGTGGCCCCGCTGAGGAGGCTAACAGAGAGGCTTAGGGGAAGCATCAGGGATGCTCTTGAGCAACTCTAAGCGACCGCCATCGTGGTGCGGGCTTCCTCAAGCACCAGCCGGCTCCTCAGGTTCCGGCAGGTTTGGGGGCTGCCCCCGAGGCCTGCCTCCCGGTCTCGGGATGCTGCGGCCAACCTGGCATGCAGAACCCAGACCGGGGTGGGCGAATGCAGGGCGGGCGCGGTCTCTCCCAGCTCCGTCCGCCTGGGTCCTGGGTAGACTGGCAGGCTGGGGCAGGGGGCTGCCATGGCCTACAGGAATTCTCTCTCTTTCCCAAGCCAGGCTCCATGGGACTCAAAATCTGCGTCTTGTGCTGGGCCAGCGGGACAGACGGGGATTCTGTGGGTGACCCGCGCACCCCGCAGCCCAACACTCTTCCTACCTGAGCTGATGGAGGGTGACTCGGCGGTGATGTTGGGGCCCCCCAGGCTGTTGGGAATCTCTCCTGGGGCAGCTCAGGGCTCCATGACAACCACAGGGCTTCCCCATCATGTGACTGGCCCAGTGCACACACTAGATTGGGCCTTCTCAGCTGGGCAGGGGGACAGTGATCCGATGGTGGGAGGCTCTGGATTGGTTCCCTTGCCACGGCCAGCTCACTACCAGCTGAGGGTTTGAGTAACGGTGACGACTCCCCCGCTACAGGGGTGGGGGGCCCCATTTAGAAGGCCTGCCCTGCGAGGCGGAGGGATCCAGGTGGTTTCCAGGCGGCTCTGGGACACCTTTCCAGCTGAGATGGCTGGCGGTCCTGCTGAATCCCTGGCAGTTCTCAGGTGTGCGGAGATGCCCTGGGCAGCTGGCACCATCGCCCCTGCCCCCTCCGTCACTGAGCTTGTACAGAGCGGAGAGCGATGAAAGGATTCAGGAGATGGCTTGAGTGCAGATGGAGGAAAACTCCCAGCGAAAACAGCTGAGTCCAGGTTTGTGCTTCCATTCGGAGGCACAGAGAGTGGCAACAGAACGGTAGCTGGCTGCCTCCATTCCATCATCCACATATATTAACCCATTTAATCAAACTGTGCACTGTAAAACTTTTGATGAAGTTTTGATGTGCTGTTTATACAATGCATCTGTTTAAAGGTGCTCTGTGAACTGCCCAGACAGCGTTGGCTGTTGAATGGCATAGGAATTAAATAAATAATGATGATTCATAAGCGGCCGCCGGGGTTCTACGACGACCATGCATGGATTAAGGGCGGCCAGCACCTTGCTTGCTCCCTGCTCCCGGGGAGATGAGGGCAGAAAAAACCGCTCCCCCTGCAGCGTCTTGTGAGCGGCCTCGCTAACGCTAGGTGTCACTCTCCCCTTACGTTAAGAACGAGGTCGCAGCCCTGGGAGTGATGCCTTTTGCAGGGCAAACATCAACTGTGAAAACACTAACCATCTGCAAGGAGCTGCCACCCCGGGGACGCCGCACGACCCTCACGCTACAAACTCTTGGAAAACCATGCAGCAGCATCCATCAGTACAACAGATGAGAGAGAGAGAGAGAGAGAGAGAGACAGAGAGAGAGACAGAGAGAGAGACAGAGAGAGAGACAGAGAAGCAACAGAAATAGAACACACAGCTCTCCTTTTCCCCCACCACAGAAAATGTTCTTGATGGCTGAATAAGACATTCCACATGTTCCTTTGACAAACAATTCCGCATTTTCTTGCACGTTGCATGCCGTCACTTCCCACAAAGATGGCATCAAAGATAGGCGTGACCAGGCCCTTGCAAGGGCCCAGGTGCCAGCAGGCGTCCACGGACAAGATGCCCCCGGCACCCCTCCTCTTCCTCACCACCGCCATCGGCTTGTCCCACACCTCTTGTTCTGGCCCAGACAAAGGAGATGGGGCACAGAATGGGCATCCGTCCTCTGCCAGCCATGCCAGCAAGCGGGGGCAAGGACAGACTGGAGCAGGCAATGGCACCAGTGAGATGGTGGAGGCATGGGGGGAGACGGGCGGGGAGGGAGTCCACCCCGTTTTAGTGCCAACAGAAACCCATTTCGCAGACTCAAGATCCTCTCCTCCTCTCCCCGCCCTGCTCCCTGCTTTGCTGAACAACTCATTTCCAGCTCTTCTGTTCCCTCGCTCTGGATCACACCCTTGGGCATGCTCCCCCCTCAAAATGTATGTTTTAGTTTAAATAAAAAGAGGAAGGGATGGAGCACCTTGGCGCATGCCAAGGATGGTGCTCGGTTTGCCCAGCTTTGGGGAGGGTGTTCAGGGAAGGGTTAGCCCGAGGGTGGCTGGCCGAGGTTCTCCCCGGTCCGAGGCACCGATCTTTCCCAAGCATCTCTGACAGCAAGCCTGCAGAATGACCGACATCCTTAAACGCACTTCAGCCTTCTGATTTAGCCTGAGACGTTGTTAAGGACGGGGTAAAAATACTGTAAATAAATACATAAAATAAATGATTTCTGGAAAACAGCAAACTCTGCCATGCTAGAAAGAGCCACGGTGACCGACGAAAAGGGGAGGAATACGGAGCGGGGTTTCAGCACGTACCTTTAAGGTCTTCACGGCTACAGTCAGACTATACTTTTTCCAGACTCCTTCGTACACCTCCCCATACTGGCCTCCTCCCAGTTTGTGTTTCATGGTGATGTCTGTCCGCTCGATCTCCCACTTGTCGTAGTTTGGGGAGACGCCGTAGATGGTGGGCTTGTTCCGCTTCGGGGCGGGGTAGTGGAGGGTGGTGATCAGCCCATCTGCTACGGTGGAGTGGTGATGGACGAGCTCGGCCAAGGTGTTGAAGCGGCTCTCCGAAGAGACATAAAGCTGGGAGGCAACCACAGGGGAATCTGGGTCAGCCTAATGCTGAGAGGATCCTAAAAGGTTTCTGATGTGTAGTCCAAGTACAAAACTGCCTTGTGTCCACCTGCTATTGTATGGCTCTCATGCTGTCACCTTAACAAAGGCCCTGATGACGCCTCAACAGACAGAATGATGCGGCTTTTTGATTGGCTCAGTCCTGCCAAGGTTCAGCAGTTCTCACAACCTGGAAGAGCCTTACAGAGTTTTCTTCTTGCCTGGCCTTTCTTTCCCAGTGAGATGACTCTGGAAACACCGGGAATCCAGGCCAAGTTTGCAACCCATTTATAATCCTTCCAAGAGGTTTACACACACTGTAATGTTAATCTGTCCCTTAGGGTCATGATCCCAGGCTTGCTCAACTTTCAAACTAGGAAGTGTGGTTAGTATAAACCGGTTTTCCCAACTTGGAGGTCTCTAGATATTCTGGACTTCAATTTCCAGCAGCTCCAACCAGCAGGACCAATGCCCAGCAATTCTGGGGTGTTGTCCGAAACATCTGGAGGCCATCGAGGTTGAGAAAGGTGGCTTAAATGGTGGCTTACTGAAACAAGCCGGAATCAAACCCCACTCTTTGGTCCCATGTGGATGCAACAACACAAACTAATTAGTTTAAACTGGGAAGAGGATGCTTCCAATTGCCGGAGTCCTTGTGGCTCTGGAGGGGGGAATGCATGAGAATCTGATAAAACCCACCCAGTCCAGCATTCTGTTTCCTAGGCAAACTGGCAAGCAGTCTTGAAAAGTCAAGGGGAACGGTGGCTCCTTGTTTCTTCTCTGAACCCGATACTGCAAGATGGAAGCTTCACTTGGCACCCATACTAAATAGCTCCTCAGAGACTGATCCACGTGGTCCGTGAGATTTCCAGCAGCTAAAAGGAGCAGTGAAGAAGAGGCAGAATCCACACCAAGCTCAGATCTGCCAGGACAGGACTCACACACCATGGAAAGCACCCTTTCAGCTCTTTCTGCACTAAAACGCTGCAAGAGCCAAACTTCTCCACGGAGGGAGCCGAGTTACGCGTTGCACGGGTCTTAGCATAAGCAATGCCGACAAGCAAGCAAGCTGAGTAGACTTATACTTTCCCCGCAGACCCCAGGGCTGAGCAGCTGACATCAGCACACATCCTCCATCACACCCCTTCTGCAGAAAACAAACACCATCGGCTGAAGGGATGGAGTCGAAAAACGCAAGCACTGCTTTACTCTGCAGCTCTGGCTGCTCTCCTTCCCTGACTTCCACACCGTCTCCTTACCTCTGTGTGGCCAAACGACTCTTCCCCAGTTCCAGACAAGCCAAGCCACAGGATGCTGCCTCATTTTTTTTTAACCAGGTCAGAATATCTCTTCGCTGAGCAGAGAACTAACTACTCTGACCGGCCATGGTTTTCCAGGGTCTAAGAGGGAGCTTTCTCACCGCTTGCTCGCTGCTCCTAGCTGAGCCCTTCTATGGGCAAAACCTGCACTCATCCCTGGAGGCATTTCCCCAGCTGGGATTGTGGCAGGCCTCCTCTTTGCCGGAATAATATCCGCGCTGGAAAGCTCGCTTCCACTGTCCACCCCTCAGGAGAGAAGCAGAAGGGAGAGAAGAACAAACGCTTTAAGGATCTCATTTCATGAGGGGCTGAACCTTGAGTTCTGAGTCAGACTGGAGCCACTTTGTTCATCATTGCATCTGAATGATTTTCCTGAGGGAAATATACAGAAGCTTGTACACGAAAGGAGGGCTGTTGAATGGTAAGGGCCTTGAACCCCGGGAGACGCAGCATATCCCTCTGAGCACTCCGCAAATGCTCACTACCAGCCAGGCAAGCTCTCTGCACTGGATGAGCTTGAGTGAAAGAAGAGCAAGGAGGTTACTGAAGTTCAACAGGTCGCATAGGGAACTTTCCCAGTGTTCAAAAGCCAGGGTAGATTTTCAGAGCCATGGCCAGGCCCAAGGCCCTTCAGCTTACTAGGAAAAGCGTTGGATAAAACTGCTGTAGAGAAGGGCTGCTTTGGCTGTGAGAACAAAACTGTTTGTCAACACAGCTTTGTCCCTCCCTTGTCCCAGGAAAGTGGGATGGGGCACTAGAACCTCTGCAGTGCAGAATTTTGTAAAACCCACGGCAAGGAATGCTGTCTTTTGTTCTGGGCTCTGGGAGAGGAACTGATGCACTGGCCACCTAGGCAGCTCTGGAGGCCCACCAACTTCCCCTGGACTGTTTGGGGGACCAAGAGTACTCCAGAAGAGGGGAGTGCAAGCTTCCTCTTGCTTGTTTATGAACAGCATCCTGAACATGGGTGGCTTAGGGTCTTCCTAACCGCCCTCAAATATAAATTAGGCACCTCACGCTGGACCAGACCCTTGGCATGAATACGCTTTGAGGGCTGGGAAGGAAGGCAAGTTTTCCTTTCCCAGCATCTGTACTCCTAATTGTCCCATGTCCATCCTCAGGAGAGAGGGAGAACTCTTTCGTTTCTGGCAGGAAGAGTAACGGCGAGCATCTGGAGACACTGCTGATCCTGGTGATGCTGGCCACCGCCCCTCCAGCCAGCTCCAATCCGGGTTGTTCCACACCAACATCTGCACGCCTCAGACCCACCCCGAGAGTGCAATGGAGGACAGAGAACAGCCAGGTCCTGCACACCTCGGCGGTGCTTCCTTCCCACGCCACGCTGACACAGTCACGGGAGGGGGCTTTCCGGACCCTCCCACCACACCACAGACCACCAGAGCAGCTTGCCTGGACTGCGAAGGTTTGCAAACACAAAATCCCACGCGCACGTTGGGGGCTGTGACAACTGCACCATCTATGCAGCCCGGCCTCCCACCCTGCCTTGCCAGACCCCGGTGTGGGGAGAGAGATCATTTTATCAAGCAGCTAATACATCTTTATAGCACAGTGATGTAAGAACTGGGTCCATGGAGAGCTGCGTTATCTCCCTCCATTCTCTTCACCTTGTTTATTCTTTTTTCCCTCTAAAACGTGTTTTATACATTTCTGATGAGAGGCCATCGGCCGCTTCCCTTAATGAATTTTCCTTGTCGGTATCTATTCTCAACAATGCTGATTAAAACAACTCTGGGGAAAGAGGAGCCATTAACCTGCTTAGCACAGATCTAAACTAATTACCGTAGGCACTGCTTGATGGTTCCCCCAGCAGAAGCGATATGGGTGGGATGCAACGGAGCCCCTTCCAACAAAGCTGTTACGGGCTGCGCACAGGGGTACATCAAGCCGCTAATGTGCTGTGGAATGCAGCTGTCTCGTATCAGCTGGAGGATCTCACGAGAGACTCACGCATCTTCCTAGCGATCTGTCTGGAGAGCTGTGATGTTCGCTTTGAGGCATGAAAGGGAGTTGCTTCACTAGAGAAAGATGCTACTGAGATTCTGCCCCGGAAAAGCCCGGGAAGGTTCAGTAAGAATGCAGAGACAGCTCAATGCCCACATCTTACGGGGGAACTGCCTAATTTGCATAATCCTTCCTTCAGATATTGCATTCCTCTGTAGAGCAGCCTTTCTCCGCCTGGTACTCCAGATGTTTTCAACTAGAAGTTCCAGAAATCCCCGCCAGGAGCTGAAGTCCAAACATATGGCAAGAACCAGCTTAGGGAGGGCTGCTGTACTTATGATCAACCGCCAGCACCAAATCAGTGCCAACTGCTCACAAGGCTGGTTCCGACATAATGTCTGGGGGGATCCCACTGGGGGAGAGGAGACTCACCTTCCCTGTGTATTGAGCCCCCCAAATCCTCCTCCCCATGCCAATTATGCTCAGAAAGCCCCCTTTTCACTGCCATCAGTGACAAGGTTTGGCCCCGTACAAGAGCCCAGTAATGCCCTGATCAGGGAGGCGAGCGACAGACAGACGTGGCTGATGAAATCTCCTCCCAGGGCCACAGTCCTAGTCCGAATCCCAGACTCCCACTTGCAACGGAAAAGAGAAATGACAGAGACTTGATGGCTGAGTTCCCCGTGTCCCACCCAGCCGCACCTTCATTTGTGCTCCGGAGCAGGTCGCAGCTCCAAGTGGCCCCCAGAAGGTCAGCAAGGAGCAGTTCTCACCTTCCCGTCCGAGGCGGTGTTTATCCGGTAGTGGTAGACCCTCCCCTCGTATCGCAGAGAGATGGACCGCTGCCCCGGACTGCTCTCGCTTTCCCGCACCAGGAAGCTGCCGTTGATTCCGCTGCTGAGCAAGTACTCGGCGGCGTTCCGCGACACCGGACCGTGGTACCAGGAATGCTTCTCCAAGCTGTTGACAGGGGTGATGTAGTTGCTGGGGACCCAGCCCTGCCCGTTCTTTGTTTGGGCTTCACACCATTCTCCATTGTGGTTGTAGCCCAGGACACGGAGCTTTTCACCTTTCCATGCAAAAGAAATTACTAATTAAAAACGTCATTCCCAGCACTTGTTTGTATATGTGCAAAAACACACAAGGAGGTGGAAAACACACAAGGCGCCGACAGAAGAGGCACCGCGCACACGACACCTGCGCGCGCGGCAGCAGCAGAGGCAGCAAACGCCCGCACCCCGGACTCCACCACCTGCGCTGACTGCCGGCATGCCCGGCACGTGTGAGAGGCGTGGCTGGGCACGGCGAACGTCGGAGGGAGGAAGCCCTGTGCCCTGAAAAGCGCCGGCGGCGGCCGGGCCGGCGGCCGAAGGTCGTTGGGTGCCGAGCGGGGGGCTGGGCTGGCCAGGGGGCTTTGTTTGCCTGCGTGATTTTTAGCCTTCCTGCTATGCTGCGTGTCAGTGTAAGTTTTTAATTGTTTTTATAATTTTAGTTGTTTTATGGAGTCGTCCCTGGCCATGTTGCCACTTGCGTTTCCTGGGGAGCGCACGGGCGCTGCCATTGGGGTAGTCTTGGGCAATGGACGTTACAGCGGTGGGAGCTTAACGTGTCCGCATAGAAGAAGGAGGGACAGATGGTTGACACCTGTCCCTACTTCTGGTTTTGCTCCCAGCCAGAGGGTGCCAGGGAGTTTTGTCAGCCGCCCCTCGGGTCTGACGGTGCTGTTGCTTAACGCCAGGTCGGTCAATAACAAATCTTCCCTCATCCATGACTTGATTGTGGATGAGGGGGCCGACCTGGCTTGCATAACGGAGACCTGGGCGGGAGGGGGGGATGTTGCCCTCTCCCAACTATGCCCGCCCGGGTATCTGGTTCAGCACTGTTCGCGCCCAGAGGGGAGGGGAGGGGGGGTCGCTTTGGTTTACCGAGCCTCCATCTCCCTCACAGGACTTCTGGTCCCCTCGAGGCCGGGGCTGGAGTGCCTCTACTTGGTGTTGGGCGACCGAGACAGATTGGGGATTCTGTTGGTGTACCGTGCACCCTTCTGCCCAACAGTCTCCCTGCCTGAGCTGACGGAGATCGTCTCGGACCTGGTGTTGAGGACCCCCAGGATGTTGGTCCTGGGGGACTTCAATCTCCATGCCGAGACTGATCTGACCGGGGCGGCTCAGGACTTCATGGTCTCCATGGTGGCCATGGGGCTGTCTCAACATGTCATCGGCCCGACCCATGAACGTGGACACACCCTGGACCTGATTTTCTCGACGGGACAGGAAGAGGGTGGTCTGAGGGTGAGGAATTTATGTTTGACTCCCCTGTCATGGTCAGATCACTTCCTGGTGAGGTTTGTGCTCGAGAGCGACTTCTCCCTCTGTAAGGGTGCAGACCCGATTGTGTGGGTCCGCCCCCGGAGCCGGATGGATCCGGAAGGATTCCTGAAGGCCCTGGGGGAGTTTCCGGCTGACAAGACGGGTGCTCCTGTCGAGGCTCTGGTCGAACTGTGGAATGGGGAGATGACCAGGGCTGTAGACACGATCGCTCCTAAGCGCCCTCTCCCACCGGGCAGAGCCCGCACCTCCCCTTGGTATACCCCTGAATTGAGGGCGATGAAGCAGGTTGGGAGACGGCTAGAGCGTAGGTGGAGGAAATCACGTGATGAATCTGACCGAACACACTTGAGAGCCCACTATCGGGCCTATGCTGTGGCGGTGAGGGTGGCGAAAAAGAGATATTTTTCCGCTTCCATTGCCTCCTCACAATGCTGTCCGGCAGAGCTTTTTCGAGTGGTGCATGGCCTGGTTTGTCCAGGTCCGAAAGAAGACCTGGTTCCACCCTCAAAGGCCCGCTGTGACGACTTTGCCAGGCATTTCAGGGAGAAAATCGCTCAGATTCGTCACGAGCTGGATTCCACTATTGATACAGAGGTTTTAAGGGAGACGCCAATGCCGCCGTCTGGTCCAGAATTATTGGATGAATTTCAGTTATTGCGGCCCGATGATGTGGACAAGGTGCTTGGACGAGTACGTCCCACCACTTGCTTATTGGACCCTTGCCCGTCTTGGTTAATAAATAATTCCAAGCACGGGATTGGGACCTGGATTTTGGAAGTGATTAACACTTCTCTGAGGGAGGGTCGGGTGTCTGCCCCTTTAAAGGAGGCGGTAGTCCGACCAGTCCTGAAGAAGGCGTCACTGGATCCAGAGATGGCCACTAATTATAGACCAGTGGCCAACATCCCGTTTCTGGGCAAGGTGTTAGAGCGAGTGGTGGCGGGACAACTCCAAGCACTCTTGGATGAAACTGATTATCTGGACCCATTTCAGTCTGGCTTCAGACCTGGGGACGGTACTGAATCTGCCTTGGTCGCCCTGTACGATGACCTGTGCAGGGAGAAAGACAGGGGGAGTGCGTCCATGTTGGTTCTCCTGGACCTCTCAGTGGCTTTCGATAAACTGAAGCTCAATCCAGACAAGACGGAGGTCCTGTTGGTTGGTGGTTCTGGCTTTGGAGAGGGTGAACTGAACCTTGTTCTGAATGGGGTTGCACTCCCTCTTAGGGACAAGGTTCGCAGCTTGGGAGTGCTCCTCGACCCGGAGCTTTCACTAGAAGCTCAGGTGACTGCAGTGGCGAGGAGCGCTTTCCTCCAGCTTTGGCTGATCCACCAGCTGCGCCCCTATCTGGAGTATGACTGCCTCGCGACAGTGACACATGCATTGGTGACTTCCCGTCTCAACTTCTGTAACGCGCTCTACATGGGGCTACCCTTGAAGATGGTCCGGATACTTCAACTGGTTCAAAACAGAGCTGCCAGGCTGCTGACGGGGACTGGGTGTTGTGTTCACATGACTCCAGTTCTCCGTCAGCTTCACTGGCTTCCCATTGAAGTCCGGGCCCAATTCAAGGTGTTGGTGATGACCTATAAAGCCCTAAATGGCTTGGGTCCTGGTTACCTGAAGGAGCGCTTGCTTCCATATATGCCCAGCCGCCCCTTGAGATCAGCGGGGGAGGCCCTTCTCCGGGAACCCTCCATGAAAGAAATTAGGAGGGTGGGTACTCGGAGGAGGGCTTTCTCTGCGGTGGCGCCTAAGTTATGGAACGCGCTCCCCAGAGAGGTCCGCCTGGCGCCGTCGTTATTTGTTTTTCGGCGCCAGGCGAAGACCTTTTTATTCAAGCGGCATTTTAACTGTTAACATTATTGGTTTTATCTGGCCAGGGCGGCTTATTTTATACTGTACTGTTGTATTTTAATTTTATATTTATATTTTAATTTATATTATAATTATTTTAATTTATTGATGTGAGCCGCCCCGAGGCTTCGGCGAATGGGGCGGCATAAAAATGTTTTAATAAATAAATAAATAAATAAATAAATAAAAAGTGCTGGAAAATCCCCTGCAGCATCAACAGTTAAAAGCATCTGAAAAATAAGGAATTCCTGTCTTCCTTGAATTGGAAATCTCAAAGTGCATCGTAATTCTATTTTATTCCTTGGGCGCTTGTGATTATTGAATACATTGTGTCCCGCAGTTCCACTTGTTTCTTCAGCTTTCAGGATTATTTTCCTAAAGAAGCTCTCTTGAGTTAGCTCTTTTCTGGTTTTAAGGAGTTGTTGAAAACTTTCTTTTACAGGAAAGTTTTTGGTTCTCTGGAGTGGACACAGATTTTCGACTGCATTTTATAATACATGACAGATTGCCTTGACTTTCATGATTTTGTTGAATGTTGTAGTCTGTGCTGTGTTATTTGTTTAACATGAGTTTTGTATTTTTTGGGTGGATTAACATACAGAATGTGCATTTTAGAATGAATTCATGAATGGATAGTTTTCAGGGAAATTCTTACTCCAAACCTGACAAGTCCACCCCCTTTCCCTTGGACATTCACACATGTTTTCAACCAGCCCTCCCAACCAGATCCTCCTCAAATGCGCTGAATTTTCAAATCCCAGCATGCGGGCGTCTCCAACACCAGTTGGGGAAGGCTGTTTAGGTTGGTCCCCATATACTACAATCCACTCACCTTTAGTTATGCTGAGAGTGTTGTCTCCACTTGCTACGAAGTCATATAGGGCCACAAAAAGGTTCGGGTCGTTTTCTCCAGGACCAGACAGGAGGTTTTCCTTGGAGTTCCAGCGGGCAGCTTCGCTCAGGCCCTGGGGCTCAAATTCAGAGACTCCTGGCCTCTGAAGGGCCTCTGGAAAGAAAGGCAGAAAAGGAGAGGGGAAGACAAAAGGGTCATTCGGAGTGATCCGCATCCTTCCCCTTCCCCTTCCCGATTCTCCAACCCCCAAGCTCTTGTGACTTTTGAATCATTGTATTTCCAAAGCCCTTTCGCAAATAAGTATACCATAAAACAAATAAAACAAATGTCCCACCCAGCATGGAGCAAGTCTAAAATGGGGGGTCTACTGGGATGCAACCGCTCCAGGCCATCATACCTGTGGGGTAGTCCTCCTCACTTACACCACTGCAGCCATACAGCAGCAAAGTACCCTGTGAGATGCTTTTGCCTACAACTCCCATGATCCCTCACCATTGACTCTACATGTCAGGGCTTGTGGGAGTTGCATTCCTATACATCAGGAAAGCTACAAGTGACCCACCACAGAGATGGAGACTTGGGGGAATCTCTCTGGGTTCCTTTAGCTCTGGATTTCTTGCAGATTCACCACGGGTTAAGAGACAGTCAAGAAGCTTCTTCACCTTGCCACCCCTGTTCAGCCCAGTCATCTCTATAATCTCTGGGTGCGACTGACCAGCAGCAATACTGAACTAATAAGCAGCATCTGTTAAAACTATTTCTGAGTGTTTTAAAAAGGGGGAGAGCAAGGGAGAGGGGGAGAGATGGGTTATGCATGCATGCACTGGGAGAGCCCTTAAGATCTCACATCATTATGAGATGTACACAAGATGACGGCTGGAATTTTAATCCAGTTGGGATGCCATAGGCTGAACTTCATGCCGATGTATTATTAGTTTGTTTTAGTGAAATATTTTTCCTATACAGGATATGTGGCAACAATTAATTCTTGGGTTCAAAACAGAAATAAGTGTTCTCTCTCTCCCCCATATTCACACACACACATCTGTTCTTCCCACTTTACTCTTTGATTCTAAAACTATAGCACTGCTGCTGGTGCTAAAACTCTACGGGATATTCCAGGATTTATAAGAAAGAAAAGATGGGGTATAAATCAAATAAATAAATTTACTGGGATATATTTCCCTATCAAGATATAAACTAGGTTAGCAATTTTTCATGTAAGATTATTAGTCTTCTTTGGCTACTAATTATGCATTATAATGTAAAATTGCAGTTATAAGCTTAGCTGAAATAAGGATTGTTGCTGATTCTTTGTGAAACTTGCTGCCTCTACTCTTAGAAGCAATTTTTGTACATTACCCTTTGTTAACTTTTTCTTTTTGATGGTCTATGTTCTTCTTTCTGTTTCTTATTATTTACCATGGTTTTAACACTCTACCCCACTAGCTAGTCTTAGTTTAAAGAAGTATCTAACTCCATTAAACATCTGGTATTTCATTAGGTCATGGTGGGAAGGCTGAAGCCATTTAAAATAGCTGCCATATTCCCCAGCTCTTGCTTCAGTTTAGGGACTCGCCCTTGGAGACCCCAGCTCATTAAGTGGAGCACATTCTTCGCTTGCTCAGCTTCTCAGGTTCAATTCCTACTATCTCCAGGTTAAAGAAAGCCAGCCAGCCCGTCTTTATTTTAGGAAATGAGCGTGCTGAGGTCGACCAGTGCAAATCCTATTCATGCACACAGAAAGAGGAAAGCAGCATACAGTTCCCAGCATTCCTGCCAGCATGCTGGCTGGGGGATGCTGGGAGACAGAGGAAATTTCCCCCTCTAACCCTGGACGGGATTGTGCCCTAAGCCACAACTGTGACGCGCTCTCTCAGAGATGAGAGGCTGTACGCCTGAGTTCCTGTAGCTGATGAACGGCAGAAAGAACCATCTCTGGCCGCCTTGCTTGTGGAGTTCCTACAAGCATCGGGGCGCACGACTGTGGATCACAGGATGGTGGACATGACTGTCCTTTGGTGTGACCCAGAATGGTGGTTCTTATGGTCCTGTGCATGGTGTGGGGGAATGGGTACTGAAGGGTTCTCATGTAACGCTAGGAATCCAGGGTCATGCAATGCCACTGACCAGCAATAGATGCAGGACAGAGGAAAACAAACAAGAATTGCTCCAATATGGAACCTGCTATCAGATGATGTGGAAACAGCTCTGGACTCCAATGGGTTTGTTTGTTTGTTTATTTGGGATTCTTGTATGCCGCCCCCTTCGCATAAGCCTCGGGGCGGCTTCCAACAAATAAAGAACAATACAATACATAAAAAAACTGGAAACATCAAGGCAATAATTTAAAACCAATAAATAAGTTAGGAATTAATTAAAATAACGTTTAAATAAAAAGGTCTTGGCCTGGCGCCGAAAAACAAGTAACGACGGCGGCAGGCAGACCTCTCTGGGGAGCGCATTCCACAGATGGGGCGCCACCACAGAGAAGGCCCTCCTCTGGGTACTCACCCTCCTAATTTCCTTCACGGAGGGTTCCTGGAGAAGGGCCTCTGCTGCCGATCTCAAGGGGCAGGAGGGCAAATATGGATGCAGGTGCTCCTTTAGATAACCAGGTCCCAAGCCGTTTAGGGCTTTATAGGTCATCTTAAGAGAGCTAGGCCAGGGGTGCAGAAACTCAGACTTGGGCACCAAACCCAGTCCACCCAGGATTTCCAAGATGAGCATAGATCCTTCCCCTGGCTCCATCGCCTCTACCTCTCTCCTGGTTACCCCCATCGCCAACCATTGAGTGATTCCCAGTGTTTGCAGTTTCTTCTCCATTTTAAAAGGTCGAGAAAAGGCTTAGCTATGAGCAGTAAGAGCTGCTGGTATTTTGTGCCATCTGGTTCCACCCCTTTTGCCTTTGGTCCTCATCAACCTTCTGGTGCGCAGCCCAAATACAGAGCTTCAACCACATGAAATGGGAGTAAAAGAGGTTCGACACCCCCAGCCTCGGAAGAGGCTGAGCTCACCAGAATGAAGTTCATGGCTGAGGCCAACCTGGGGCTTTAGGGGTCCATTACTGGGCCGTCATGCTTTCTACTGGTGCTTTTTATGAGGAATTAAATGCTCTGGCTTAGCTTTGGAAAAGGGACTGCTCCATGGACCTTTATAACAGTCCTGCTATAATGGGACCAGGATTATAGGGACGTCTCTTTCCCTACATGCCCTCCCACCCCTTAAGATCTGCTGCAGAGGCCCTGCTCCGGGAACCCTCCTTGAAGGAGATCAGAATACCTGGAGGAGGGCTTTTTCTGCGATGGCGCCCCGGCTATGAAATGCGCTCCCCAGAGAGGTCCACCTGGCACCGACATTATATGCTTTCGGGTGCCAGGTCAAGACCTTTTGATTCACCCAATATTTTAAAGTTTAAATTTTAATTGTGTTTTATTAATACCAGTCGTGCGTTAGTAGTGTGATTAATATTATTATTGTTTGGGCTAATGACAGGATATTTTATATTGTCGTATTTATTGAACCATTGTTGTAAGTCCTCCAGAGATGCGTAGTGATTGGATGGGCTAGAAATGTCCCAAATAAATAAATAAATAAATAAATAAATAAATAAATAAATAAAGTCCCCTAGTGTTATCAACAACCATGACCATCACATATGGTGACGGTGGAACGGTTCATCCCCTTCTCTGCTGGTCACCACTATTTCCTTCATCTGTTTTTTTTTTCCTTTCAAGTTCAATATGTTTATTTTCAAATAGAGAATCAACAGACAGAGTTCGGACCTAACCACTCCAATCTCACAGTTTCCTCAGAACTGGGGCCCGGCTCCTCACTGCAGAAACACTCCATGCACGGATGGTGCTAAATCAATTGAGAATGGACAGTACAAAGCTGAACAAAGAATAAATGAGATGAAGGTATTAAGTCTTATCTCCAGTTTGTATAAGAACAGAACTCCAATAAGGTAGCTCAGGACAACTGTTCTTCATTTCTACATGACCGCATGACTATCCACGCTTTCATTTTTGCATTTCCTGCGCTCTTCCTGCAGTCCAACCATCCCCACCAGATGTGTTGCGAAGCAACTCCTGTAACGAGGAGGAGGAGGAGGAGGAGGAGGGAGAAACTCCCGGAGGAAGGGGTGTAATCAGCCCTTCAGCCCAGGGCCAAAGTCCTGGACTGTGCATAACTGCAGCCCACTAGGAACTCAGCCAGCCCCTCCTGCAGCTGTTCTGCAAAACACCTCGAGTCTCACATGTGCTAGCATCCCTGGAAGAGCCCCACCGTGAAGGGCAGACAAGGCAAAAAAGGAATTCAAACCCATGCAGGTGAGACCCGGAAGCCCACAGAATTCACTGGAGGGGGAACTGGGGGCCCAATCAGATGAGGGAGATCCATAATAAGATCTCCTATCACTTGAAATGTCAGCAAACAGCACACCCCTGGGTGTGTGTGTGTGTGGGGGGGGAGAGACACAAAAATTGCAAATCAAGATTATAATCCTTCCTCCCACAGTTTGTCTAATGAAAACCCCCTCCCTCAATCTGCTGTTTGTTGTTTAATGTGCAGAACTCCCCCCACCCTTCCCTCCCTTCAGCAGCACTGTACAGCCCAATCCATTGTGGGTGGGGAGGCACGGAGGGAAACGCAGGGGCTGGGGGCTCTTTGCTGAAAGAATTCAAAAGGTCCTTTGGGGGTTGTTCAGTGTTTCACCTTTAAGGCTGCTTCTTTCTGCAGAGGCAATTTTCTTTTTGTGTTCTGGAATTTTTTAAAGAACAGATAAACCGCCTTTGATTCAGAAGTAAATGTATATAAACGTAGGGCTAGAAAGGCCACTGCAATTACTGAATTGTGCCTGGAAGCTATGCTTTACCCTCATTTTATCTCTAAAAATATGCCTGATGGCCACAAAACAATTAAGTTTGCTAAGTGCAGCATGGAGAGTTGGTCTTCTCCCGCCCACCCCATTTTTGCACAGATTATCCATTTTGTCATCCTTGCCGCGCTTTAATGGCAACAATTATGGAAGAAACAGAAAAGCCGCTCAGAGAAAATTAAGCTGATTAATCATTTTACCAGGAAGAACGCTTTGATCTCGTCAAGCCCATTAAAGCTCCCTTATCAAGGCAGAGGCGCCATTATGGACTGGA